GTGTGTGTGTGTGTGTGTGTGTAGTCATACTTGTATTTGAGATGCTGGATGGTCCCGAGACATTTGAAGGTCCCATTGACCATGATGGCCAGTCGAGTGCACAGAGCCTCACACTCCTCCATACTGGTGGAACAACATTAATCCATCTTTATTTTTACTGCTACTTTATGATTTCTTTGACCAATCACTTCACAAACTTAAAAAGATTTAAAAAAATCAAGATAATAACACATTCATGATTTGATTAATCGTTGTTAGCAGAAGATGTGACTCGTGAACGTGTTGCTATGATTCAAACCTGTGTGACGTCAGCACCACGGCCCTGCCGTCCTGGATGATACTCATGATGGCCTTCCACAGGAAGCGCCGAGAGTGAGGGTCCATCCCCGTCGTGGGCTCATCCTAAAGACGGGCATTCCCAAAAACAAAAGACAAACTTGACTTCCTGAGCACACAGTTCCACGCAAACAGAGACCGAGTCCTTATCTCCATCAGCATATGGCAAAAATCACAGATTTCTGCCAACTTGAATGGAGCGGCTCAGATTCTTGCCAAAATATAGGACACTGGAGGCCAGGCCTGACTGCACCCATATGGCTTCCCATCTGGTTCCACAGACCATTTCATTGATAAATCCCAGCACAAAATCTAAAACTCAAACAATGGGCCCCAGAGCTTGTTGTCATTGGCTGACTCACCAGGAGCACCAGGGCTGGGCAGCCAATCATGGCGATGGCTGTAGAGAGTTTGCGTTTGTTGCCTCCGCTGTACGTCCCTGCACAGCAGCCGGCATATTCTGTCAGACCCAGCTTCTGGATGCCCCACTCTGCCACCTGCACAAAGAAGAGGAGTTTTACTTAGTGGCCACTTCAGAGCACTGATGACTGACACTTTATGTTAAAGGCAAGAAAGCATTAGCAACACAAAGAAAAAGATGCACCAAACAACGTTAACAAAAGGGAAGTGTCTGTCATTTGTGCAGCAGAGTATAACATCCTCTGCCGGTTCGATATGTAAAGCAGATGGAGTCCTGCTCACTCTGGGGATCTCTGACTCGGGTACCCCTCTGAGCCGAGCGTAAAGGTAGAGATGCTCCCTGCCGGTAAGGAGCTCATCAATGGCATCAAACTGGGGGCAGTAGCCCATGTTTTGGTGCACGTCGAGGATCTCTGTCAGGATGCTGTGAAATAAGACAGAAAAGGTTTCTCAGTGCGTGAACACAAATAACAAAGCAGGAGAAAGACATCAGATTTGTTTCAGTGGGTTCAGATCTGAGATGTTTATTAAAATGTGCTAAGATGAAGCCTCTTTGGGGAAAAAAACATAAAAAAGCACAAAAGACAAAACTTTATTATTAGTGAAACAATCTTTTGAATTGTGATGCAAGCATGAAAATTGGCGTGGTTGCTTTTTAAGATTTACTTTTTGTAGAAAATAAAACTGACCACGCAAAAAAATCTGAGACAACGGACATTTTTTTCAAGATGGCTTCCCGGCCATTATTGGAATGGGATATTTTATGTAACTTTTAGTATTTTTGTCCATTTATCAAAATCAAGTTATCTTTTTAAACATTTGCAAACATGCAGATTTCAAAAATTAACCTTAAATAATGAATCATTTTAAGATTATTTTTAAGAAAAAACGCGTATTATTTGTTAAAAAATGGACACTCATGCAAAAAGTGAAGAATAACAAAGGAATGGATGTTTCATTGTCTATTGTTTTAATTACCAGATCTTAATAAAGTTTAAACAACATGGTTATATTATAAAATAATTCTGTGAGATCAATCATTACAACCTTACTGAAACTACTGTACAAATGTCATGTAAATCAGCACATATTAGATGTAATAGTGGTAAAAGACTCAATCATTATGTTACTAATATGGTTCATTAATTACTGTAACAACAATCATATATGTCTTTCAGCCATTAACACACTAAAACCACATAAAATCTGTAAAACTGACTGAGGTATAGCTATTTTTGAGTTTTCTAAGGTTGGTTGGCTCCAAAAGTTAATCCGTTGTTGAGGTAGATTATTTTTTTCTGAAAGCTTTATTAAAATATACACACACACATGTATATTTTCCACTTTTGCCTTTCTAAAGCAAGCGATCATTTTTGTGATGTTAAAAGCCTAACATCCTATCAAACTCTTTTCTATTTAAAGTCTGAGAGTTTAGGTTCATAGTCAGATAGCGTTATCACATGATGTCAGTCTGACCTTCCTCTGCTCACGCTCTCTAACTCATTGAGCTGTTTCCAGCAGCCACCATCTGGAACTGTGTGATAGATGAGTCGCAGCAAACATTTGTTTCAAACATACATCTGTGGCTGCGTGCAGCTCTGAATGGGGCTTTATGTTGTGCTATCTAAACACAGAGAAAACTGTTTTTCGTACCTGTAGCCAGCCACAGTAGCTTCTCCATAGCTGACATCAGCATCACCTGTGAGCATTTTAAATGTTGTCGTCTTTCCAGCCCCATTTACTCCCAGAAGACCAAAGCACTTAACAGAAAAAAACATATACATATTATTGAAAGGACATATAAAACAAATACAATCATATGTATGTAGCATGACTACTGATATCAAGAACTGCAAACATTCTCAGAAGAAATATTATGTGCATGTATAATTTAACTGTTGCTTTATCTGAAAGACAAAACAAGACTGGTGCTAGTTTCAAGTTAACCCTCCGACTGAATCAGTCGGAGGGTTAAGTCAAGCAAAAAGCAAAAAGACAGAACTTGTGTCGAACAGAGAAGAGAGAAGCAGATCTTAGCAGAAGTGAACTCGGTGACTTCACCTCTCCTGCAGGGACTCCCACACAAATCCGGTCTACAGCTGCCCTCTCTCTGCCCACGTACGTCTGTGCAGAGAAGGCAGAGAAACAACAACAACAACTCGCTTTATTAGAAAAGTAACACGAAAAAAATGACAAAAATTTAAAGATGCAAAAAAACAAATTAAAAAAACACTCCAAAAAAATCAGACTAATCAGCAAGTGTACTCATGATTTTTTTATTCTAATATGCTGCAATTTAATACTGTTTCTGTGAATTAATAAACAAAAAAGAAATTGTTAAATAGCAACAAAACTAACAACTGGAAGAGGAACAAAATAGTATTTCAAAATATACAAAGTAGGCACTTTGATAAATGTATTGTCCTACTCAGACAGGGGTCATTGATACCAGGTGAGTTTCAGTCACTCCTTTAAATATAGTTATAGTTTGTTTTCTGCTTTAGTTTGAAAAACTGTCACTGTATTTTGGTGCTCTCTATGTCTGCGGGGCTCCACGATTATTTTATGGTGTTAAGCTCAAAATGCGGGACTTACTTTGTAATTTTCAACATTTGATGAGCTCTAAATCCTGAATGGGTGGTCCAACTTTAAAAAACTAAACTGTTTTAGAATCAGTGTGTAAAGCCTTTCAAGTAAAAAGACTAACACTGAAAGAGGTCATTACATATCCAGTACATAACAGGTGATGGGTACCAGATAAGTATCACGTATATTCCAGATAAACTCTGGTTAAGCACTAGGTATTGTTTCAGGATAAAGTATTATTTAAAATTGTGAAATCCTGTGTTTGCAGACAGGCCTGATCCTTACCTTAGAGAGATCTCTGATCTGCAGAATGTCCGTCTTGCTCCCTCCGTTGTAAATCCTCTGCCTCTCCGCTGCCACATCATCATCCTCATCTTCCACTGAAACCTGTTTGTAGTCCGATAACCTGAGAAAAACAAGAGTACACACATCTGCAGACATGCTTCAAGTGAAACAGATGTGCACCATATCAACTTTTCCTAATTCTGGTGATGCTAGAAAAAATTAGCACCAATAATTGCTGCGTTTAGTTAATGACGATTAATAGATGAAATCTGCACTTGCATGTTTTTGACTCTTAAATCATACTTACAAAGTATCAGTCAAACTAACTTCATTTTAACATATTATCTAAGCTGTGGATTAAAACCCACCTTTTCCACAATGTGAAGTGGCAGCAGATCTTTAGTAAAACAATATGTCATGGACTCACATGCGCACTTGACAAAAATATGTCTTCCTGTGGTATTAGGTGCAGTAAATGCAAGGTGATACGATTTTGCCCAACACTATATCATACTTTAATTTATCTGGTGTGTTCAAGCTGGGACCTTACCAATGGTCCAAGAAGAATCGATACTGGATCAGGAGATTGAGAATGAAGTACACAAAACCTTCCACCGCCATGAAAGCAATGTTTTTCCCCACAAAGTCCCACCGGAAAGGGTCCATTGTGTACTCTTCACCTGGAAGAAACAAAGTGTGGATTCACAAAATACACAAAAAGGATAAAAGTTGACTGCTACAAAACCAATTGGACATGATCCGGCTGTTCACAACAACAATCTTGTCAAACCCAAATAGAAATTGCGGCGCACGGTGCTTACCGAACCTGGCGTAAACATCGGTGACGGCCTGATTCATGGCCATGTCGATGAGGCCGCGGCCCAGGCAGAAGTGAGGGAACACCAGCAGGCATTTCTTCAGCCACTCATTGAACGTCAGCAGAGACTGCCAACACGACAAATTCATGTTACAACACAGAAACACCAGTGAATATCTGACAAAACGTGGTTTTGTGGACATGTTTGTCCTTTTGTAAGAACTGGGTTCCTACAAGGTGAACTGATAATAAAACAAACGCCTGTGGAAATGTCAGCATCGAAACAGAATGGCTCCATCCACCCGCAGAGCTTCACTCATGACTCATTCGTTGTGGGGGGAAAAATGGAGCGCAGATGTTCAGCGGAGAGAACCATCTGGTTAAGAACCATCTCTATTTCTCTACAGAACCGATCACGATGAGAGCCGCATCTGCGTCCTTTTCCCCAAATCCGTTTTTTATTTCATTTTCCTTCGAACGCTCGATGGAAAACTCTTTTTCTCTACTGTCCGTGTTTCTACTGTTTTCCCTCTGCCTGGGCTGCTTGATTCTGTTTTTTCCCCTCTCCTTGGCTTAAGCCTCTCATCAGACCTTATGCTGCTCCAGATGCAGCTCATTAATAAACAGTCTGTGTTTGCCGCCTCTATGCAGATATGATCAGATCAGCAACATTTTGGCACGCCTCGGTAGGAAAACAGCAGCGGTAAATAATAACATCATTAATGAATTCTCTTCATCTTTCGTTCATTTACACTTATAGATTCTATGCTTCCACTTGTACTCTATTCTCAGCCACTTTATTATCTTCAAAAGACGGGTTTTCTTACTTTCTTGTGAAAAAAACAGTGTATTTCTGCATAATTACATTAGCTTAAGTTCAAACTTAATTTACATTTTTTTCCCTGCCAGTGTTGTTGTTTTTTCTCACTTGTTTGCCCTTCAGCTCTTAAAGCAGACTGTGAACCACATTTATATTAATCTATTTAAGATTTTTAGTACATGAAGGCAGCCAGACGTTCAGAAAACAAAGTGTGCTTAAAACTCTTTTGACCTTTTAGTAATAAAAAATATACACTGGCATTCATTTATACATTAGCTATGGGCTAAAAGTATACTTATAATATAACAGATCTGCACTCTCATTTGACAAATAAAAAAATGATGAATGGTTAATTAAATTATTCAAAGTGCTCAGTTTTATAGTGTTATGTCACGGCACCGTTGTGCTGCTTTCAAGTGCTCAAAGATATTGTAAAATAAAGATGCGTATATATACTGTATATATACTGTATATATACTGTATATATAC